TCTCACACCCCTAAAATAATATTTCTATTTGAAAGATGTGGGAAAGCTTTTAGGGAGTTAAGTTCCACAGCAGGATAAGAAATTCCAAGATGTTGTGGGTGATAGTCCCTCAACCAATCAGAAAATGCACCAAACATTCTGTAAACAACAACTTTTTTTTTTTTTTTTTGGCATTCGGGATTAAGTGACTTGCCTGGGGTCACACAGCTAATAAGTGTTATGTGTCTGAGGCCGGATTTGAACTCAGGTCCTCCTGACTTCACGGCTGGTGCTCTATCCACTGAGCCACCTCGCTGCCCCAAAAGAAAGAGCCCTGGAGACTAAACTGGTTGCAACCCTTCAGGGTCAAGGACCAGGCCTCAACAGAGCAAAGGCTTTTCTCCACTAGGCTTGCTTAATAAGCTTATTGAACATTAACTGACACACCCTGAGGGTGGAGATAGCCTCTATTTTAAACACAGGATGGGTAACGTGGGCAGAGTTAACAGAACATGGAAGAACATGGGAATGGGCTGTCCAGGAAGAGTGTAACTCAGATGAACTAGACCAATCCTAGCCCTGGTGGGTGGAGTATGGATCTTACTATTTGAAAGTTCATTGTACCACTGAACAAGTGCCCATGCTTCTCCAGGGAGAAGCGTAAAAAAGACTTTCTTTCACTCATTCCTGTAGTAGATTTTTGTTTCAGATTTTTCTAACCAGATGAAGAAATTCAATCCTAGGGAAACTAACATACCTAAGGTCATCCAGTGGCTGAAGTAGGACCAACCTCAAAACAAATCTTCTGGCTCCCAGTCAAATGGTCTTTTCTAGCCGTAATACTACCCATGTATTATCTTCTTTTCAACCAGGTTCTAGCAGCATTTCTTAAACCATGGCTATGGGGTCTCAACCCACAGTTTAAGAAGTGTTGAAGATGTTGTGAGTGGAAAAAGTTTAAGAAGCCCTGGTTTAGAGTACTTGTTAAGAAGAAAAATGATACTACTTTGATCTATGATCCAAAGCATAGAAATATTCTCTCTCCAGCTGAAGGATGATTTAACATTCCTTCCTCCTCCTGCCCTTTTCTCCCCTAAAGCAGGGAGCTAGCTATTCTGGACTTTTTAGGTGGGTGACTTGGGTTGTGTTCTATCAATTTTAATTTTAATCCTAACTTCAGAAAGGACACAAACTCCTCTGGGGCATCCCTCCCACCCTCTCTTCCCACCAGCCCTTCATCTTCTCCCTTTTGCCTTCCCCTTATCTCCTTCTTTGTTCCCCTTCCCCCAACTAATCAATAACAAAGTCTTTATTGAGAGCCTTAGGAACAGCAAGATGCAAAGTATAAAAAGTTTCCTTCAAAGGCAGGAAGATCTGAGCTCAAGCGCTGCCTGTGACACATAGTGGCTTTTTGAGCAAGTCACTCAGCCATCCTCTCTGTGTCCTAGGGATTTCTCCAAGACTTTAAGCTCCAAAATGTGAGGGGAATTATGATTTAACAAAAATAATCATGGATTTTATTGGTAGTGGGAATTTCCTATACCAAGGAAATCACAGGTCTGGTCTAAAAAGATATATGGGGAACCTACTAGCTATCATTCAGTGCTACCTTATATTGTATGGTGTAAAGGAAAAATATCAGAAAGAAGAAATGCTACGGACTGAAGTTGTCAGGACAGGCTTCCCAGAAGATAGAGAATTTAAGATGGACCTTCAACGATGGTAAAGATTGGAGAGGGTACAGGAGAGATAAAATGAGGAAGTAAGAATGGTGTGTTCATAGCACTGTGAAGTGATCTGGGAAGCCAAAACAGCGTCTGCATGTTGGCTAAGTGGAGTGGAAACATTGAAGAGAGTCTTCAAAACCAAGCAAAAACATTTGGATTTAATGTGATCTTGTCATAGCCATCCCCGTCCCCACCCCCACCCATCAGATTCACTGTGGGGCATGGACAGCAGTGGGACAGGAGGGTCCAGGACCATTAAACAGGAAAATCACTGTCTGGCAAGATAACGCAGGCAAAGAAGGGGGTGAGGGGAGGAAGAGGTTATTCAGCCAAGACAGGTAGGAATTAGCAGGCAGCTTTCATATAGATTAAGTGCCCAGAGTTTGGACAGACTGTGAAGCTAAGTCTATTGGCTATTTGTCCTATTTATGCCTTCTGTGTGTACAGTCCTGGGTCCACAGATAGTGTAGCTACTAAACTTCTTCTTTAACTTCTTTCTCCTCCTCTTCCTGTTGCTCACAAAATATTGGCATTTTTAGCTTTCTTTTCTTTTTTTTCCCCCTCCAGTTTGTTCCCTTGACAATCTTGTCTATTCTCCTGGCTTTAATTACCCTCTCTATGCAAATAACTCCCACATGCATACATAGGCAGCCCTGACCTCTCCCCAGTTTCCATTCCCACATTTCTAGCTACTTGTTGCACCCTTTCACGTGGATTTTCCAATGGCGCCTCATTCTCAGCATGTTCTGATCTCAATTTATCATCTCTCAACACCCATACTTCCTCCAGATTTCCCTATTTCTATTTATGCATCACTAACCTCCTAGTTACCCAGGCTCAAAAGCTTGAAGTTCGCTTTTACTCTTCCCTTTCCCTCAACCCCCACATCCATTTTGTTGCAAAGTCCTATTGTTTCTCTCTGAAGTATAAGATAATTCGCATTAGTATCTTTCTTTTTACTCCCACTACTACTAGGCAGCTAGATGGTGCAATGGATAGAGCTTTGGACCTGCAATCAGGAACACCTGAGTGAGTTCAGATATGACCTCAGACTATTACTAGTTGTATGACCCTTGGCAAGTTACTTTACCTCTGCCACAGTATTCACCTCTGTAAAATGGAGATAATAATAGCACCCACTGTCCATGGTTGTTCTGAAGATAAAATGAGCCAATTTTTATTTATAAAAATTTTGCAGACTTTAAAGCTCTACATAAATGCTACCTGTTATCATTACCAACCTATCCAAATTCTCATGACTTCTTCTCTGGACTATTATAATAGCCTCCAAACTGTTCTCCATACCTTAAGTCTCTCCTATTTCCAGTCTATCTTTTCCTTCCCTGCAGGATAAAATAAAATCTTTTTGTCCTAGCACTCAAGGCTCTAATTTGCTTCCTTATCTTCACTTCACACCTCTCCTCTGCAAACTTTAATTCCAAGTTCAACCAGAAACCCAGCCTTTCTTGAGCCAAGGATGTATATTAGGGAATGGGGAGATAAAGCTGAAAAACTACGTAGAGACCTGATTTAGAGGGCCTTTCAATGCCAATCTGAAGAGTTTGGACTTTTCTCCAACAGGCCATGGAGAACCATTGAAAGTGTATGAGCCTTCACATCTCAGGGCACTGGGTCGCAAATGTGGTCTGACCTCTACAGCCTATGCTCATCTGTCCTGCCAGATTCCTCTCTTCCTACTTCACCTCTCTTGAAGCTTTAGATGGGCATGTTGAATTTTCAAACAACCTTTGAGAGAGTAGAAAAAGAAAAGTTAGTAAAAGCAGGCATTCAATCCCTTTGCACAAATGTCAGAGAAAGACCTGCAATGCAAAGCACAGAACCAATTTCCTTCATCCTGCCAGGAGCAGGAGCATTAGAATGTTGCCACAAAATGGATGTCTTATTGATGAGATTGAATTAAGAGAGGAAACACCAAAACCAGTTTCTGGGTAGGATATTTGCAATACATTGGTATTCGAATCGAGACTAGACCATGTTAGGACCAATGTCCTGATCAGAGCACATCTGAAGTAGAGAGTGTTCTTTTCTTGGTGTAAGGGGGAGAGTGGCAAGCTGGAGGGTGACCACGATGATGAGCAGTCTAGAGCCAATGTCAAATAAAGGGCACTTGAAAGAACTGGGCATGCTATGCTTTTGTTGTTATTTGATCGTTTTTCAGTAGCATCTAACTCTTCATTGACCCTATTTGGAGTATTCTTGTCATTTCCTTCTCCAGTTCATTTTACAGATGACTTGCCCAGTTCACACAGCTGGTAAGTGTCTGAGGCTGGATGAGTCTTCCTGTCTCGAGACCCAGTGTTTTATCCACTCTACCACCTAGCTGCTTCTATATTATGCTTAGAAGAGAAAAAACAATGACTAACAAATATATGTCTTTAAATATTTGAAGGTCTATTCTGTGGAAGAAGGATTAAACTTCTGAGTGGCTCCAAGGGTAAAACAAGGATTAGTAAGTGGAAAAACTTTCTAGCCGTTAGGGCTGTCTAGTAATGAAATAGGCTGCCTTGGAAGGTAGCAAGCATGTCATTGCTGGAAGTATTCAAATAAAAGGGATGTATTTAGTAAGTGGAAGGTTGGAGTAGAATGACTATTGAAATCCCTTCTCATCTTGAAATTTTCTGATTCTATGCTGAATAGGCTAGAATAAATGTGTTTGTGGTGTCCATTCTTTATCACAATTACAGCTCTCTGGGGAGTTGCACCTTGATCCACCCTCACTGTTAGAATTTCCTAGTCTTGTGACCTTTTCCTTCAGAGAAGATTAGCCCTGATCACCTGGAGTAACTTGATAAGCTAAATAAAACTAATGTGTTAATGTTTGACTGTGGCTTATTATTATTTATCAAAATAATAACCCACATTTATATGAGGATTTTGGACTAAGTGACTGCTAAATTTCCTTCTGAATAACTGACTTCTTTTAAGTCCCAACTCAATTCCCATCTTGTAGAGGAAGTGTTCACTATCCAGTGCTTTCCCTCTCAATTATTTGCTATTTATCCTCTATATAGCTTGCTTTGTATACATTTGCTTGTATCTTGTCTTCCTCATTAGAGGGTAAGCTCCTTGAGGGCAGAGACTGTCATTTGCTTCTTTTTGTATCCCCAGCACAGGGCCTGGCATAGAGTAGGTACTTAATGTTTATTGAATTGAATTGAGTCAAATATCTTGAGTCTTCATAAGGTTCTACTGCTATGTAGAATCAGCCCAAGAATCTGGGTATGATGGCTTTAATGGACTTGGCAAATTTTCTTTTCTCCTCTTTCCTTCTAGCTTTACCCGGGCCATGTCAAGCCAGCCGAAGATAGAAGGGTTGGATTGCCTAGGGGCCTACTATGTAGGCCTCGTCATCCTGGGAATTGGCACCATCTTTGTGCTCTCCAGCTTCTATGCCCTTGGATTCATTGGGACGTATCTAGGTAAGATCTTGCAGAGCTTATGCCAGAGCACCTGAACCTAAGGCACTGTTTTGGTCCCTATCTCACCCAGACAGTGCTGCCACTGGGGGAGGGTGGGGAAGCTCTATCCATTCAGTATCAATGATGTTCTCAAGATTCACTGCAAATGGCACCATATAGTTAGCTCTACTACTAGCTATATGGTGCCATTTGCAGTGAATCTTGAGAATATCCCTAAGATGAGAATCCTATTAAAGACTTGGGTGCAAGAATTCTGGCTTCAGATTTAATTAAGCAAACAAACAAACAATTATGTGACCTTGAGCGAGTGATTTATTCTGAACTTCACTTTGTAAAATAAGGAGATTGGCCTAAACACCTTCTGAAGTTGCTTCCAATCCAAGCATTCTGTGATTCTGTGATTGCCTTGAAGAACTATTTGAACACCCAACATGTTGATAGAATATTGTTTTAGCAGCTAGGTGCCATGGGAAACAGAAAGCTGAATGAAGCCTGCTCCTTGCCTTCGAGGAGCATACTACCGAATAAAATCACAGAAACTCAGAGTTGGAAAGCACCTGTAGCCTGGCACATATTCCCACAGGAATCTCCTCCACAAATTATCCCACATCTGGTCATCTAGCCACTGAATCAGGATCTCCAGTGATAAGAATCACCTTTCCCATCAGCCCATTCCACTTTAGGAGTGCTCTAATCAGTAGAAAGTTTTACTTTAGAGCAAGCCATCCTCTCCTTTGCAATTTAAACACATCATTCTTAGACCTCCTCTTTGGCACCAAACAGAACAAATCTAAGTCCTCTTCTGCATGTTAATATTTGAATATAATTATAATTTTTCTGTCTCCCTTTAACACCAAGTCTTTTCTCCACCAACAAGTTCCTTCAACCAGTCTTCCAATCTTGGTATGGCTTCTAATCCATAGACTATGTAAATTCGAGTTCTGTCTCCTTGATCATACTGTTTTGTCAGCAACCTTTCTAAAATGTGAGCCCTGCAACTGAACACAGCATTCTAGATGTGAGATCTCAGTCCAGAAGAACTAGAATCTGCCTCATTCTGGACACTGTTTCTTTCAATGGAGATCAAGATTGCATTAATTTTTTTGGCTGCTTTGTCACACTCTTGAGTAATAGTGAGCTAGCAAACCATGAAAAGCCTCTGCCCTTTTATACACCCATCTTATCTAAAAAAAGAAAGAAGACATAAAAAGATAGCCAGCAGGATAAAGCACTGAATGATAAATTATTTTTATAGACATTGGGTACACTAAGTCAGTTGTGGAAAGATTGCTGGAACCTGAGATGAAACAGAACCATAGATTCTTAGAACTTTAGTGTTGGAAGGCACCTTTGAGGCCATCCTGTTTAGCTCTCCTCCCAAAAGAGAAATAACTATACCATAACATAACTAATGTGTCGCCACCTAGCCTTTGCTTGAATTTGAACATTTCAACATGAGGTATTCAACTCCATTTCTGAAACACTCTAGTTGTTAGAAAAGTTCATTATAAGGAAGCTGAGAGCTATTGGTTTTGCCCTCAGGGAAGGGCTCATGAGAGAAATGGGACTTGAGCCCTGCTGGAATGAAGGAATGACAAGTTCTAGTCATGGCTTTACCACTTACTAGATGTGTGACTTTCGACCCATCACTTTACTTCTCTTGCCTCAGTTTCCTTACCTGTGGCATAAGGGACTTGGATTGCTCTGCTTCTTCTACTTCCAAATGGAAAACAGAACAATGAATTTGAAAGTAGAGTGATTTCTTTTTTCTTTTTCTTTGGTAAACAGTATTTTATTATTTCCAACTACTTGTAAAGATAGTTTTCAACATTCATTTTTTATAATATTTTGAGTTTCAGATTTTTTTCTCCCTCCTTCCCTTCCATCCCCTCTCCCCATGATGGCAAGTGATCTGTTATAGGTTATGCATGTGCTGTCACGTAAACATATTTTGAGTGTAATGATTTCTGTTCAACCTGATTTACTGCTTTCCACAAAACTCCCAGGAATTTGTTTTTACTGGAAAGCAATGGATATGAGCCAAATAGCAAAGTGGAGGAACGCCAGTCTACTCAGTTCTGGGAAAGACTCCTGTCCTAGCAGGCCTCTTGAATTTAGCCTGGGAATAGACTCTTCCCTTGAAGTTTCCTATGAAGTAGATGAGTCTGCGCCTTGGATGAGATCCTTTGCCTCTGGATGGAGATTCCCACTCCCAGATGAGCCTCAGCAGGTCTGGCATAGGGCTCCCCTGCTGCAGTTTAGTGTTAATATCCTTTACTCATGGGTCCTGGTTTTCAGATCAGGCAGCCATTATTTGATGTCCAGAATCAACAACACACGCTCTGTAAGGCTAGACAAGGCACCTGCACCAATGCCGTCAACTTGTCCCTCTGTCTTGGAAATCAGCAAGGGAGGAAAAAATGCCATGGGGAGTCTGAGGGTGAAGGAGAAAGAGGGAACTTGTCAGAAAGAATAAAGATAAATCTTGGGGGAAGAAACTTACATGATTTTATTTTGTCTGTCCTTTAAAAATTTTGAACTTTTTCTTTTGTATTTGTCCTGAGTTTTGCTGCCTTAATGTTATTTTCATATATATTGTTGTAGCCTGTGGCCTTTGGGTTTATTGTTCCTTTGGCTCTCCTTTATTGGGCCATACAAACCTTCCCATGTTTTTTTCTGAATTCTTCATATTTGTTATTTCATAAGTACATTTATAAATCATAATTTCTTCAGCTATTCCCCACTCATGAGACATATGATCTGTTTCTAGTTTTCTGTTATTACAACATTGCTACTAAGAGTATTTTTGTACATAGGAGTCTTTCTTTCTATCATTGACTTTGTTGGGGTGTAAATGGCTCTCAGGCTCATGGGATTAGAGTATAAATAATTTAGTACCTTCTAATTCCAAATCGTCTTACAGAGCTTTTGGATCCATTTATAGCTTCATTAGCATTGAAATAATGTTTTTATCTTTTTTTTTTAATTAAAAAAAATTTTTTTTTATTGGTGAGGCAATTGGGGTTAAGTGACTTGCCCAGAGTCACACAGCTAGTTAGTGTTATGTGTCTGAGGCTGGATTTGAACTTAGGTCCTCCTGATTCTAGGGTCAATGCTCTATCCACTGCAACACCTAGCTGCCTCTGTTTTTATCTTCCAACAGCCCTTTCAACATTGGCTTTTGCCATCTTTGGTACTTTGGTATGAAGTGATACTTCAGGGTTATTTTAAACTATTTTGCATTACTCTGATCATTTGTGATTTTAAACATTTTTCAGATATTTGTTGACATTTCTTTTTCTGCATTCCTTCAGTTTACATTTCTTCTTTTGGAAGACTTTTTTCATATCCTCTGACCTCATGTCTACAGGGAAGTAAAGCATCTTGTCCTGTATCTGACCTTTTTTAGCAGGTGAGAGAGAGACAGAGACAGACAGACACTCCTGTTGGAGCTCACAACCTGAGAAAAACCTGGAAAAATTAGATAAGCCTCCTGAGCCCTTCCTCCATCCTTGGACCTCAGCTTGGAGAAGAAACGACTTCGGAGCTGGGGGAATGACATGATAACTGCTCCTGCTGGGCTATGAAGCTAGTGGCTAGATATGAAGACATGGTTGAGTTTCTTGGGGTGTGGGCATAGCAAACAAAACTTCCTGATGCCATTGCATAAAAACTTTTAAGAGAACTTGGGATGATCTTTGAGATGTAGAAGAATTCAGGGTCAGAATCCCCTGGAGCAGTGCTTAAAGTAAAAGAAAGAAGACAAAATGATATTTTTTTGTGTGTGTCATTATACTTGGATAAAAAGAAAGTAGATTGGTTCAGGTGTCTTAATAGTTAAAGAAGCTAGGCTGATTTTGAACCTCTAAGACCGGAGCAAAAGAGGATCAGATTAGGGAGGATGCCAAAATGATTTGAAATATGGAATTGGAGAAGAGAGGGTGCTTGCAAAAAAATAATCTCAATTTTGTTCAGCAAAATATGAGTAAAGGTCCTGTGCTGAGAGGGAGTTGGAAAGGTAGGTAGCTAGTTGGTAGCTTTAGACAAGAGAATGTTTGTAACACCTGCTGTGGAAAATGTGAAGTCTCCAAGTATGAGAGTTAGTTTTCTTTTCTTTTTTTTTCCTAAGATTTTTATTAATTTATTCATTTTTAGTTTTCAACATTCACTTCCACAAGACAGTTAGTTTTCTCTCTTTTTTTTTCTTTTTTTCTTTTAGATTTTTAGGCAATTGGGGTTAAGTGACTTGCCCAGGGTCACACAACTTGTAAGTGTCAAGTGTTTGGTCTGAGGCTGGATTGGAACTCAAGTACTACTGACTTCAGGGCCGATGCTCTATCCGCTGCGCCACCTAGCTGCCCCGAGAGTTAAGTTTTCTTCAAAGCTCAACTCAAGTATCACTTTCTGTACAAAGCCTGTCCTGATCCCCACAGTGCTAGTGCTAGTGCCTTTGTCTCCAAAATTACCTTATACTTATTATGTAGGAATTACGGACATTATTATATGTGTACATGTTGTCTTGCCTGATAGAACGTAAACTCTGAAGGCAGGGACTATTTTCTTTATGTATTTGTATCTCTAGGACCCAACACAGTGCCTGGCACTGTTGATTGATTGATTGCTGATTGATCGATGCTTACTACATTTCTTCATATGAGTATGTCTTAATAAGCAATGATACTTTTCTCCCTGACTCTTTTAAATATTATATTTCTACCATTCAATTCTAATTTTCACCTGTTTAATCTCTAAGTCACCTGCTGCTACCATGGTGCCCTGGGTTGTAGGAATTCCCCATTACCATTCACCTTACTATAATTTTTTACTTGGCAGTAATAAGACTTATAAAAATCACAAGTAGCTCCTCATAAGGAAATGATTGGGGACCTAATCTTAGGATCACAGAACATGATTTAAAGCTGGCAAGGGACCATGGAGGCCATCTCATCCAACCTCCAAAATTTTCAGCTCAGATAACTAAAGCATGGAGAAGCAGTTAC